TATTTCGCCAATAGTGGGTTCGCACACATTTTGTAGGTATAAAACTTATATTCAATTTCATTAAAATCAGCAATTTGTACAATAATAGTAGAGATAAACATGAACTTGATGTCACAATCTCACAATATTTCAAAATTAGGTAGTTACCTATATGATAGTCAAAATTAATTACGTCCAGTATATCCATTATTATGAAGTCAAATAGTCCTTGAAATAAGTCAATTCATTTACAAATCAATACTAAATTATGTTATTATGTCCAGTAGGTATACAAAAGATTTATAAGAAATGTACCTACATTGTATTATTTTTCACCATTATATGTGTTATACAAAGTCTGAATTAGAAAGTCTTATTCAAAAGTTCACTTCATTTCTCTGCACTTCCCTATGGTTGACTGTAAGAGAATGCCTTATGGCATTAAGTCCGCCATTCACTGTTGTATATTGTGAAGAAGAACCAAATAAATAAATAAATAAAAAAGTCTCATTCAAAAATTCCTGTAAACTGTAATAAGCTTTATTAACTAAAACCTTCTTAGCTTATTTTTAAAGTTACATAATATATTGTTTTTATTTATTTTCCAGATTATCGCGCCGATGGGGCAGTACATATATATTACTATTTAAGATGTTGTATACTTTACATTACTCGAGTATGAAGTACAATAGCTCATTAACTTATATACATATATAACTAATATATAGCATTTTATATATTATTGAAGTTTTATTTTTTTAACATTACCTCATGACGATACCTAAGTACATGTGTCGCCTGGACAGTCACCGCTACCATCAGTTGCGTTCTGAGTAAACACTTTTTTATGGAATAAGAGATTAACGAGCAGACGGATCACCTGATGGTAAGCGATCAGCATCGCCCATGGACACCCGCAACACCAGAGAAGTTACAAATGCATTGCTGGCGTTTTAAAAAGGAATATGCTCTTTTCTTGAAGGTTTGAAGGTCGTATCGGTTCGGATATACCGCCGACAGATCATTCTACAGGTTTGCTTACAGATTCCACTTAGAAATCATTGCAAAAATAGGATTGATGGTAGATGTCCCACCCACACGCACGAAGCGCTCAGCATCAAGCTTCCTTGTGCGTACTGCTAAGGAGTGGAATTCTTTGCCAGAGTCTGTATTTCCTGAAGGGTATAACCTGGGAGTCTTCAAGGCCCGAGTGAAAAGGTTACTTATGGGACGACGTGCTCCATCGTAGACCGCATCATCGCTTACCAACAGGCGAGATAGTGGTCAAACGTCGGCCCGTCAAATGAAAAAAAGGATATAAATAATAAATAAAAACAATTGTACATATATATAAATCGCATTATATTTAATTCAATTATTAAATAGTGTTACATTTAACCATAGCAGTTATTTCATTAGTATTCCAACCTGCATTGAGCAAGCGTGGTGATTAATGCTCAAACCTTCTCCGTGTGAGGACAGGCCTTTGGTCAGCCGTGGCCACTTATAGGCTGATGATGATGGTAGTGTCTGGTATATAATTTGTTCAGGATAAGAAATGGAATGATGCGAAATAATGCAACTGCAGGAGCAGTGCAAGGTACAGATTGTGTACTTGCCAACTAGTCAAATTCAATACGATTTTTCGAACTGTCAAAAACGACAGTTTTCTATGAATTTTGTACGAGATTGTGTATTGTGACGTCACGGTTTTTTAGCGTCAAACGGCATGCTTATTTCTTAAAAAATTGCTGGAAAAATACTAAAATTAAGTTAGTCATAAAATCAATTAATGAAAGTGTGATTATTGTTTAATATTGTATTGTATTGAACAGTCGAAATAATTTATTTTTGACTAAGTCAAGTACCCAATTCGACTGTTCCACGAATGTGCAAGTTGGTAGACAACAGTTTCAGAGATCTAGATGTGATCATTCAGACTCATTTGGCAAGTTCTGTAAAGTTAAATTATTATTTTTTTAAATGAGATGCAATTTGTATTTTATTTTAATTATCCATCTATTTCAGGCTTCATAAGCCCATCTCGAATACTACCTCTATAAATAAACTAATACATTACAAATAAGATTAAGTACACAATGACAAGGTACTCAATAACTAGGCAAAAGCCGGCGTCGTGCGTCGCAGAGTCCGGTACCGTCCTACCGCCGGTCTCGTCCGCCCTCGGACCGTCGGTAGACTACCCCTCTTCCATTAAGGTTGGCAGATGTCCAGTCGGCACCCTGACTACAAAGGACTTGAAGTCGACTCTGTGTTGAGAGTGCAGCTGAAGCTTTGCCTTGATCTTGATGAAGTCCACTATTATCCAATATGTTCGTCCTCTGTACAGGGCCACGTCCTGGACAGTCTCGGCCGGCACGCGCTGTGGGAGGCCGGCCTGGACTACGTGCACGGCACCGGACACGGCGTCGGACACTTCCTCAACGTGCACGAGGGGCCCTGCGGGGTCTCCTGGAGGCCCTACCCGCACGACCCCGGCCTCAAACCCGGACAGGTGCTCAGCAATGGTGAGTTGTATGCTCACGGAACTGTTTGATTCAAGCCATGCTAGAGGCTGCTCGACTCTGCGGCCCTATTATATTTACCCGACTTCAAAAAGAAGCCTCTCAGTCACAGGTCAACACCTGTCTGTATGTTTGTTGGTGCGCGAGTATCTCGCAATTGGCTAGACACATTTTGATGCGATTTTCAGAAAAATGTTTAGTTTTAGTGCTGTAATCAACCGACTTCAAAAACAGAGGGCGTTAAATTAGGTCTTTTTAAATAACAACACACAACATAACATCACGCCTTTTATCTCCGAAGGGGTAGGCAGAGGTGCACATTACGGCACTTAATGCCACTGTACAATGTAGGTAGCACCCACTTTTCACTACTTTACACTATGTTATGAGTCCCATGTAATAGAGGGTGAGCCTTTTGCCATATACCAGGCACATTTCCAGACTCCGTACTACTACTGAGATTTTCACAAACCCAGTAAAATTTTGCCCTACCCGGGAATCGAACCCGAGACCCCTTGCCCGGCAGTCGCACTTGCGACCACTCGGCCAATGAGGCAGTGTTTTTAAATATAGTTTATAAAAGAATAATCTTATTAACATTTCTGCTTACCTCCCATACGTGTATGTTACAGAGCCTGGCTACTACAAAGTGGGTTCGTTTGGCATTCGACACGAAGATCTAGTTGAGACCATCAACGTCACGAAGGAGACTGAACATCCGAGGGTAAGCACCAATATACAGACACGTCATGGTCATCGACAGCCTATACGTGGCCACTGCTCACTAAACACATCTTCTCACACGGAGAAGGTGCATTTACAAACATAAACATACACATGACACCTAGACCCGGAACAACAATCTGTGGATCACACAAAGTGTTGTTCCGTGCGGGAATCGAACCCGCGCCACGCTGCACGGCAGCCGGTTGCCCAGCCACCGCACTAACCGTGCAGTCGTATTTGAGCATTAATCACCACGCTTGCTCAATGCGGGTTGGCGATTTCAAACTTATGCTTTAGATTATTTAGACGACAATATGGCTGATGTCGATACAGAGTTGCGGAAGACTTAACGTGTTACCGGGGCTCCGGCTCGACGTGCAGGAGTAGGGACGGGGGGGGGGGGTTAGTCAGTAAGAGTCTGCCCTCCCACCTCGCCCAGGCGGGAGCAGTCATTCGATGATTTTCCCCCCTTAAAATAACATTCTCTATACTTAAGTAATAGTATTATGGTGCTGGCCTTTTGGGAGGAATACAATGCAAGCGTTGTTTCACGCCGGAGTTGTGTGACGCCGTGGTATCCACAACGTTTTGTTTTGTTTTTCAAGCTCAGTTTCGGTTGTATTATAAAATCAGTGGATGAGTTTCCCCCTTTAAAAAGTATAGTTGCAATACTCTACTTGACATTCATTTAATAAAAATGTGTAAATTAAATTAAATTATTTTTTTTTATTATTTATTTTTTTATTTATTTGGACTCCCAACAAAAGATACACACATACATGCAAAAAAATCCACCTGAAGTTACAATAACCTTGTGATCCTTCAATTACAGGGAATCACATCATGCCCATACAAACATTTATATCAATTGAATGTAATTAGATTAAATTAAATTACAGAAATGTCAAGAAAATATAATATCAAAAAATCCAAATCATAACATAACAATATAAAACAAGTCAAATAAAAAAATTATTAAACATTAAAATTTTGGTTGAACAATTCTTAAAATAAGATCTATTTAAAATTAGAAATTAAATGAAATAATCTTTGTAAATAATCCTAAAGGTAATTAAAATTTCCAAAATTAGATATCAAATAGTCAAATAAACACATCTAATGAGATCAAAAATACCCACTCAATAATTAATGTCAATAGTTAGAATAACGATATGAAATGTCCTCACTTGCCTAAACTATATGAAATAATTTAAATGTAATTATGCTAGAATAGACTGCACAAGAAAAACTAAATATAGATATAACAAATGAACACTGATAATTTATGTAGTGGAGTAAATTGACGGTGTGAATTACGTATTGTATCTACTATAATGACATCAGATACTTTTTGTGAAAACCTTACAAATTTGTTATTACAATTTGATTGACTTTGACATTTAAATTTAACTAATTTATGACTAATTGATTTACATACTATTATTTTCTGTATTTTTTTTGTTGATTATTGATGTATAATTTCTATGACTAATTATTTGATTGCTCTATGAATGTGAAAAGATATTTTTGACTCGTACCTACATATATTGACTGATTGTGAATTTCATTAATACGTACAATGGTTGAGATATACGCAATATTTGCATGCCCAACGGGTAGAACAAAGTGATACAATATGTAACAAAAATAAATAACACTTTAGGCACTAATTATGTACTACACCTCTGTTCAGCAAATAAAGACATTTGATTTGATCTGATTTGATCTGATACTATGACATGATAAATGAAAATGGTGATATTGTCCCAGGCTGCAGGATTACAAGGGGACTTCGATGGCCGCGGCGTCCTAGGGTTCCATACTCTGACTCTAGTTCCGCATCAGAGAGAATGCATCGACGCCTCCATGCTGTCCGACTTCCAGGTAATACCGACGTCAGCCAGCGCGCGCCCGTCCAATATAAACTAGCCTATGTGCTACTCCACGCTATACACTACATCTGTTGCGAATTCAACTGTTTACATGTAATTGATGTATAGACATACAGACAGACTTCAGTATTTATAATATTAGTGAGACAGTTTACTAGCGACTCCGGCGCGTTTTCACTCGCTGCTCGGTTCCTACTGATCGTAGCGTGATGTTTTGTAATCTATACTATGGAATCTATGTATCAAATAATTTAATCTATCTATCTATACTATAGATTATTATTACTATATTTTATTTTATATTATTACTATATATTTATTACTATAGATAACATACCATCACGCCATTTATCTCCTAAGGGGTAGGCAGAGGTGCACATTATGCCACTGTGCAATGTAACACCCACTTTTCACAATTTATGTTATGAGTCCCATGTAATAGGAGGTGAGCCAATTGCCATATACCGGGCACAATTCCAGGCTACTACAATGCTACTTCTGAGAGTTTTTTTAAACCCAGTAATGCTTTGCCCGACCCGGGAATCGAACCCGAGACCCCTTGCCCGGCAGTCGCAATTGCGACCACTCGGCCAACGAGGCAGTATTACTATATATAGTATAGATATAACAATATAATATACTATATATTAGGCTATAGAATCTATAATCTAAAGCCTTTCTTATATTAAAAGAGTATCTAATATAAAAATAAATATTCAATTCGAGCCGGTTATACAAGGGATTAGCGAGTCCAATAAATAAACACACAAATATTAGAATTCTCAGTAGTAGCACGGAGTCTGGAATTGTGCCCGGTATATGGCAATAGGCTCACCCCCTATTACATGGGACTCATAACATAAATAGTGAAAAGTGGGTGTTACATTGTACAGTGGCATTAAGTGCCGTAATGTACATGTGTGTTTTAAAAAGAGTAACGAATGGAGTTTCTTGCTCATTCTTCTCCATTCGAATCTACATTTTGGAACGAGCGACAGACTGACAGACTATTATTTATTTTGTATTTGTTGACGTTTTAAAAGTACCAAATTATGGTTTAATTGAAATAAATGCTTTGAATTTGTCTTTTATACTTAGGCACACTCCTTCGGGGTTAAAAGGCGTGATGTTATGTCGTGTATGTTATTTAGTTTGACGCGTAATATTGAAATCAATAAACTTTTGATTTTCCCCAGCTCCAGTACATCAACAATTACCATAAAAGAGTATTTGATACTCTTGGCCCCATTCTGAAGGAGAGACGCCTTCACGACGAGTATACTTGGTTGCAAGGCGAATGTGCGCCTTTGATGAGAGCGTAAAACTGTAAGTTTTGTTTTATTAAACACTAGCTTTTACCCGCGGCTTCGCTCGCGTCACAAAAGAATAAAAAGTAGCCTATGTGACATATACCAATACATACAGCGCCATCTATACCAATACTTTTGTTTTCCCTCGGGAATATCAAATTTTTCCGCGATAAAAAGTACCCTATTATTTAATCCAGACTACTAACTTTACGTCTGCAAAAATTCAAAGCAATCGGTTTAGTAGTTACGGCGTGAAGTCGGAACAAACAAACAAACAAACAAACAAACAAACTCACTTTCCAATTTATAATATTAGTAAGGATTGCCTCGACACTAGGATTGTCTCCAGGGTCTGCCTGCGTTTACAAACATACAAGGTCACATACACATCACACACAGTCTCGAACAGTTTGTGGATCACTCAAAGAGTTGCTCCGTACGGGAATCGAACCCGCTATACTTTCCGCGGCACCGCACCAACTTGTATGAACTTGTGAGTGTATGTATGTCTGTGTGTGTGTGAACTACTTACAACTACACTCGGGAACTATGTACAACGACAACAATCGGGTACTTGCCTTCATCAAACATACATTATTTCGACTGTTCAATACAATAACATATTAAACAATAATCACACTTTCATTCATTGATTTTATGACCAACTTTGTTTTAGTATTTTTACAGCAAAATTTTAAGAAATAAGTATACTGTTTGACGCTAAAAACCGTGACGTCACAATACACAATCTCGTACAAAATTCATAGAAAACTGTCGTTTTTGACAGTTCGAAACAGATATTGAATTTGACTAGTTGGCAAGTACACGATTTGTGAATCATTCAAAGATTTGTTCCGTGCGGGAATCGAACCTGCTACACGGCAGCCGGTTGCCCAGCCACCGCGCCAACCGTGGAATCCATTACCTATTAATTCTTAACTAGCTTCTGCCAGCGGCTCCGCCCGCATCCCGTGGGATAAAAGTAGCCTATGTGTTATTGCAGATCATAGTCTACCCCTGAAACCCTCAACAAACACACACACATACACACATACAGCTTCATTCATTCATCAACAGCCTTTGAATGCCCACTGCTGAGCAAAGCCTCTTCTCACACGGAGAAGGTTTGAGCATTAATCACCACGCTTGCTCAATGCGGGTTGGCGATTTCAAACTTATAATTAGAAATTATAAGTCCAGGTTTCCTCACGATGTTTTTCCTTCACCGTTTGTCAGTGGTGTATAATCTTAGAAAGTACATATAACTCGGAAAAAGTCACATTGGTACTTGACGCTGGTAGGTTTCGAACCCGCATCCTCATGCATGAGAAGTGGGCGTCTTAAACCTCCGGGCCACCACGACGGACAGACAGCTTCGCATTTTTAATATTATTAAGAAGTAAGATTAGTAACATACATAGCTAAGGTTTCAGTATGTAAATAAGCAAATAGAGATTGATTCAGTGCAGAGACAGTAACCACTGGTTGTCTACTGAGTCCACGAATGGTTACAGAAGATATGACTTCGTTACAAAGCATTCAATTTAATATAACAATAGCTACTGTCTCTGTACTGAATCAATCTTTATTTCATTACCTGAATACTAACTATATATCAACATATTGCTTCAGCAAATGGATTACAATGAAACTGAAGGTTTACTTGCGTATATATCATAACCGACACACACATACACACACACACACACACACCTAAGTAGTCCTTTTATCTTTCCCTTTATATTTTATTATTTTTGGTTTTGGATTACAGCTCCTTCCATTTCATTCATTCACTTCATTATAGAGTAACATATAATGCGACTTCGTGACATACTCCAGGCCTGAATCACTGTTTTCCAAAATACAAGCTTATAGCTTAGTTTGGAGAGCAGTGTCAGTATCGATCGTAATTCACACTCGTTCATGTAATTGCCGCATTTCTGTGAATGTAATATTGTGAAATTTTGTATAATAAACAATTTTTATTTATTTATTTACATAAAATAATGTATAGTTGCCTGCGACTTCGTCCGCGCAATCCCGTCTATTTCTCGTCGTATCGTATTGTTTGATAAATAGTATCCTATGTGTATCCTCTGGCTCTAAGCTACCTTCCACTAATATTCAGTCAAATAGATCTAGCCGTTCTCGTGTTTGCTTTTTGCAATGGTTCACTAGTTATTTTATTTTTTTAAACATTTCATTTCTTTGTAAAACTATTGTATTAAAGACAGAACCATTTTACTTCGGGACGAAAACGAAATAGGTTCCACGGCGTGTGTAGTGTAGCTCATACGATTTGCTTTTATTTTTCATAAAAAGAAAGAAAGATTGTTTATTTGTAAAACATGCGTGTACATAAACTGAGTAATCAGACATGCAAGAATAGTTTGTTATGCGTTCATATTTCGCCAATAGTGGGTTCGCACATATTTTGTAGGTATAAAACTTATATTCAATTTCATTAAAATCAGCAATTTGTACAATAATAGTAGAGATAAACATGAATTTGATGTCACAATTACACAATATTTCAAAATTAGGCAGTTACCTATATGATAGTCAAAATTAATTACGTCGAGTATATCCATTATTATGCAGTCAAATAGTCCTTGAAATAAGTCGATTCATTTACAAATCAATACTAAATTATGTTATTATGTCCAGTAGGTATACAAGAGATTTATAAGAAATGTACCTACATTGTATTATTTTTCACCATTATATGTGTTATACAAAGTCTGAATTAGAAAGTCTTATTCAAAAGTTCAGTTCATTTCTCTGCACTTCCCTATGGTTGACTGTAAGAGAATGCCTTATGGCATTAAGTCCGCCATTCACTGTTGCATGTGAAGAAGAACCAAATAAATCAATACATAGTATAAAACAAAGTCGCTTTCGCTGTATGTCCGTATGTATGCTTAGATCTTTAAAACTACGCAACGGATTTTGATGCGGTTTTTTTTAATAGATAGAGTGATTCTTAAGGAAGGTTTGTATGTATATACATATTGCACCCGTGCGAAGCCGGGGCGGGTCGCTAGTAAATAAATAAAAAAGTCACATTCAAAAATTCCTGTAAACTGTAATAAGCTTTATTAACTAAAAACCTTCTTAGCTTATTTTTAAAGTTACATAATATATTGTTTTTATTTATTTTCCAGATTATCGCGCCGATGGGGCAGTACATATATATTACTATTTAAGATGTTGTATACTTTGCATTACTCGAGTATGAAGTACAATAGCTCATTAACTTATATATATATAACTAATATATAGAATTTTATATATTATTGAAGTTTTATTTTTTTAACATTACCTTATGACGATACCTAAGTACGTGTGTCGCCTGGACAGTCACCGCTACCATCAGTTGCGTTCTAAGTAAACACTTTTTTATGGAATAAGAGACTAACGAGCAGACGGATCACCTGATGGTAAGCGATCAGCTCCACCCATGGACACCCGCAACACCAGAGGAGTCACATGTGCGTTGCAGGCGTTTTAAACAGGAATACACTCTTTTCTTGAAGGTTTGAAGGTCGTATCGGGTCGGAAATACCGCCGACAGATCATTCTACAGATTTGCTTACAGATTCCACTTAGAAATCATTGGAAAATAGGATTGATGGTAGATGTCCCACCCACACGCACGAAGCGCTCAGCATCAAGCTTCCTTGTGCGTACTGCTAAGGAGTGGAATTCTTTGCCAGAGTCTGTATTTCCTGAAGGGTATAACCTGGTTGTCTTCAAGGCCCGAGTGAATAGGTTGCTTATGGGACGACGTGCTCCATCGTAGACCGCATCATCGCTTACCACCAGGCGAGACAGTGGTCAACTCAAACGTCGGGCCATCAAATATAAAAAAGGTATATATAAATAATAAATAAAAACAATTGTATATATAAACCGCATAAATATTTAATTAAATTATTAAATAGTGTTACATTTGATCATAGCAGTTATTTAATTAGTATTCCAACCCGCATTGAGCAAGCGTGGTGATTAATGCTCAAACCTTCTCCGTGTGAGGACAGGCCTTTGGTCAGCAGGGGCCACTTATAGGCTGATGATGATGGTAGTGTCTGGTATATAACTTGTTCAGGATAAGAAATGGAATGATGCGAAATAATGCAACTGCAGGAGCAGTGCAAGGTACAAATCGTGTACTTGCCAACTAGTCAAATTCAATACATTTTTCGAACTGTCAAAAACGAGAGTTTTCTATGAATTTTGTACGAGATTGTGTATTGTGACGTCACGTTTTTTTAGCACCAAACAGTATAATTATTTCTTAAAAAATTGCTGGAACAATACTAAATATAGTTGGTCATAAAATCAATTAATGACAGTGTGATTATTGTTTAATATTTTATTGTATTGAACAGTCGAAATAATTTATTTTTGACTAAGTCAAGTACCCAATTCGACTGTTCCGCAAATGTGCAAGTTGGTAGACAACAGTTTCAGAGATCTAGATGTGATCATTCAGACTCATTTGGCAAGTTTCGCAAAGTTAAATTATTACTTTTTTAAATGAGATGCAATTTGTATTTTATTTTAATTTTCCATTTATTTCAGACTTCATAAGCCCATATCGAATGCTATAAATAAACTAATTCATTACAAATAAGATTAAGTACACAATGACAAGGTCCTCAATACCTAGGTCCCACAAAGCCGGCGTCGTGCGTCGCAGAGTCCGGTACCGTCCTACCGCCGGTCTCGTCCGCCCTCGGACCGTCGGTAGACTACTCCTCTTCCATTAAGGTTGGCAGATGTCCAGTCGGCACCCTGACTACAAAGGACTTGAAGTCGACTCTGTGTTGAGAGTGCAGCTGCTCAACCTTCAGATGAAGCTTTGCCTTGATCTTGATGAGCTCCTCAATCTCCTGGCACAATGCAGGCGGGATGCGTAGAGTAGCGTGCCACGTACAGCCGGTCGCAGCAGATAATTATGTCCTGTCAATGCGGTACCGCACTGATTACAGCAAGTAGGCTTCCTCTTCATCTTCATTTGAGAAAATAATCAGTAATATAAGCATTCATACTTTCGTAACACTCAACGAGGGAACACTGACTCCCAAAATACAGGATCACCTAGTTTGGGAGGCAGAGATTTTATAAATTGTAAGCTGTAATTGTATGCCTATACCTAAAATCAAATATATTTGTAACTCGCTTGTTTTTAGTAAATAAAGATTTTATTATTAACTATATTATGTATGTCTTTACCATTCACGGGACCACAGGGTCCCGGTCATTTGGGAGGCGTACGAGGGGCCGAAGCCAACTGAGCAGAGGCCCTTTAGACAACTTTAATATAAATGTAATGAACACACAAACCGGCGACTATCCCTGTATGCACTATGGAAATGCACCCAAGGACAGTCCCCGGTTAGTGTAGGACTATTGTGAATAATGGAAAAAAAAGGTAGGGCTATGGATGGATTGCTGTGGACTGGAAAATAGGGAACTATGGATGACTATGGCACCTGCCGAAACAATGTAATTTTTACACGTAAAAATGGCAGGCGCAGACTCGCCAACTCACCGACCGGGCCCCGGGAATGGTTGCTAGATATAGCAACAGAGGGGCAACGAGAATGTGAGTGGCTGAAGGGTTAAGAAACTACCACCGCTTTCTACTCAAATCATCTGCTCCAGCCGAAGGCTCCTGCATCCCTGGCCCACTCGCGACTTACGAATTTATTAACTATATTATTATTATCTGTCTTTTGACTAGGGTAGAGCCTTCCTTGTCGTTCTGGTTCTTTCTAGGACCTTGAAGATTTTCGCTTTGTTGGACCTGCTTATCCCCTTTTGCAGTTATGGTAGGTTAAACAAGATTGGGGGTTGACGTATGATAAATAAAAGACATGCGTCGAGTACATGCATTTATTTAGAACTGACGACGGAATTACAATCCGCGCTTACCGGCTACAACTACCCGCTACATATTATAATATGCAACACCTCCACCCTTAATTTGTAATAAATATAATATACTAAAAATGATAATGAAAACAATATCAATGAACCTACGACTCAAATAAAGATTATACACAATTTTTCTCTTTCAATTTTTAACTATCACTTGTAACAATCATCTATTTCATATCGTCTGACTGGTTTACATACACGGCGAACAGCACGCGATTCATTAGTAACATTGTTATTCGAGCCATGATTATCTATTTCCTGCACATTGGGCACGCTAGGCGTTGGTGGAATTGCCGTTAATACAGTGTCGTCGGTTAGGTTTGGCGATGCGCCCTCCGGTACGGCCGCGCTCGGCCTGTTGACTGGCACGTGTCGTAAACTGTGACGGTAGTTACACCGCGGCTTATGTAAGCATTGTCGGTGCTCATTGTCGGTAAGCCATTTCCAGCAAGCGCTACGTAATACCATTAATCCCGCCCGCAGTTTTCCGATGATGTTCTTCGATGACATCAGCTTAGACTGTACCTCATAATTGAATTTAATTTATATATTTTTATAATCCTAATTTAATTTGATTAGGTACTTCCATAACCTCACACCTCTCCTTGGGATAGGTAGACTATGGAAATAAAGTTAGAATGCCGATATAATCCATCGGAACCGTTGATATTCATTATAAACGCTTCCATTATGACCCCACAGTAATCTATCACCATATCTGTCAACGCTCACATCCAACTTGAATCCCTGATTATACCGGCGATTAATTATAAAGAACACCAGCACACCATTTTTCAAATACGGCTCCAAGTAGTACATATGTCTCGTTTCATTCGAATTTGTTGATCCCCAAACTTTGCGATCCCCAATGTTATCTACGTTGGCGTCTAATTTTAAGTACATGTTGTATTCGGTGCTGTATATTTTGAATATGACACCGTTATTCTCCCAGAAGGGTAGTAGCTTCCAGCTTAATCGCTTGCTGTCGCTCTCGCATATATTGTCTCCCCATGCCAGGCGGTCATTGTAGCTATCAGTATGAACATCTAGTTTTAACGGCTGCAAATATTGTTTATTGATGATCTTGACATTATTTTCGTTGAAAATCAGTGCGAACGGCGGAGGGAATGCGCTACGAACGATGCTCTGCGCTCCCCCATACCATAGTTTATAAGCATAAGACATAACATTACGTGGCACAGCGTCAATCAATCTGGTTACAATTTCTTTGACAGTGTCGTCAAATCCGCCTTCATCAAAAGCCACACTCAGTTCGGTTGCCGCCTCAAAGTTGCCATTCACAACGTTCTTATAGAGATCATCTTTAAGCAATTTAGCGTTTAAGAAGCTAACATGACTGTCGTAAAATGTTAAACCCTGCAACTCTGTTGGTAGTGTTGCGTTCAAACTTGGTAATAAACCTTTTTTCTTTAATTCTTCTCTAAGCTCCGTGATTTGAGGTGATTCGCCAGTTGCCCCGAAGACTATGACCTTACCATCTGCGTTGACGATGCGGGCTATATCTTTAGCGCTATCATGTATGTTGGGGCCGGCCACGGTGACAGTCATTACTGAATTATCTTTAATATAGGCGCTGGTGTCGCATTCCGTGAAGCTCTGTACAGGGATACGGTTCGGAATCTTCCTGTCACGGTCTGAACCGCTGCTAACGAGTTGATATTTTTGATTGACGTTGTAACAATTACTGAATCCACGGACTCCGTCATCAGTTACGATTCTTCCCTCGCCCCAGTAGTCCACGTGTGGTATTAAGCCCTCAAGTGGTATTTGCACCAAGTGATATTCTCCTAAGTAAGGGACTTCGGAATAAGGGTAGGATTTATCCACGTGAGTGACGTAGTTCGGTCGCTCGGCGAACTTCCAGACCGTTGCGGTAGGCATTTTTGAAGAGATTTTGCCTGGAAACTGAAAATAATAAATGTATTATAATAAATACTAGCTACTTCCGCGCGGACGCTCGTGCTACACACGTCAACTTTTGCATGAATATTACTAACAAATCGGAAACTACATATTATCACGCTATCACCTACGAGACTGAATCAATTCTAACGCCAATCATTAGGTACCGTAGTGCCCCTTAATAAAAATTAAAAACTAATGATGAAAAGCCTAAATTCTGCCAGAAGTCATTATTCTACGCGGATGAAGTCGCAGGCAACAGCTAGTACAGAATAATTATGTAAAAAAATACGTTTATTACAAAATACCAAATAAATAGCAGCTTACCGAGATTCAAAAACTGCAACTATTGTCTGTATACCTATATATTTTGAGTAAGTATTTATATACTAAATTAAAGTTAGGCATAGGTATATTAAATTTATCAGTGGGCAACCACCATAATAATCAATTTTGAGAATTTTTCACCGCAAAGATAAGTTAAGTGCCTAAAATAAAAATGGCCACCATCAATATTAATATCAACACATTATAATTATAGGCATTGATATTATTATAGGCAACAGCGCTCTCTGATAAACTTGAACTTTTAAATAGCCAAGTTTGGGAACCATGGCAGACTTTCTTTTTTTTATGCCATAAGCCGGTAAACGATCAGATCACCTGATGGTAAGCAATCGGCGTCGCCCATTGACCTGGAACACTAGAGGCGTTACAAGCGTTTTACCGGCCTTTTGGGGAGTGGGAGTTTGAGGATCGTTGGGGATTCAGGAATTGGGGAGATTGGGGAAGAGGAGGGTAATTGGGCCTTCGGTAACCTCACTCACACGACGGAACACAACGCAAACGTTGCTTCACGTCGGGATTCTGCTCGGCCGTGATATCACTCCGGTCGAGCCGGCCTATTCGTGCCGAAGCATGGCTCTCTCCCACACTAATATGTAAAGGTCTTGGTTTTCATAACATCAACATTATCATCAGCCTATAAGCGGCCACTGCTGACCAAGGCCTCTTCTCACCGACATACATAAATAGTAATTACTCCGAGTATAAACAACTGAACGGATTTGTATAAAGGGGGCTACCATATTTTGATTCATTTAAGCAGAAATGATCCAGCGCACATTTTATTACTTCGTCAGCGTCGCCCATGGACACCTGGAACACCAGAGGCGGCCTCGGTAACCTCACTCACACGACGAAACACAACGCAAGCGTTGCTTTACGTCGGTTTTCTGCTCGGCCGTGGTATCACTCCGGTCGAGCTGGCCCATTCGTGCCGAAGCATGGCTCTCCCACACTTAAGCCATGATCGTCCCACTGCAGGGCAAAGGCCTCCCTACCCTCCTTCCACTCCTCTCTATGTAAATGTCATATGATACAGTACCTATTCAATGGGTTAATTGATAGGTACTTCAATTAATTTTTTTTATTATCTGCCCAACATTAAACTTCATATAACTACTCAAAAATAATAAAATATGGGCTGGATCTTTTCTACATATCAGGGCCCATTGGTCACCAAATGTCATTAATGTGGCAAAAGGTTTAAGTAATTGTCCAATCAATACTAGCTAATTCCTCATTGGACGAAAACCGAGATACATGGTGAGCAAAGTGCAGTTTGTTGTCGTGTCCATTATTGCCATCACAAGGTTTGTACGGATGTTATATTTTTATTTAGTTATTTATTTAAAACCTTACCTAAAACTATCATTACAGTTTTCTTCATTGCGACAGTTTAGGCCTAAAACTAAATCTATCTACCTAATTACTAATTTAAAACAAGATAAAACAAAATCAAAAAGAGGGCATACACAAACTTAACTATTGAGTAAAACTATTGAAACAAAAAACTATTAATTAAACAAAGAAGGTTTGAGCATTAATCACCACGCTTGCTCAAAGCGGGTTGGCAATTTCAAACTTATAATTAGAAATTATAAGCCCAGGTTTCCTCACGATGTTTCCTTCGCCGTTTGTTAGTGGTGTCTAGATAATCTTAGTAAGTACATTCAACTCGTAAAAAGTCACATTGGTAGGTTTCGAACTCGCACGAGAGAATGCATGGGAAGCGGGCGTGTTATACCTTTGGGCCACCACGACATTTCTTCACGTTATAACAAACTCCTCTTCAATTTTAAGGAAAAACAGGTCACCATGGGTACCTATGGCCCAATAGGGCTGATGCCGATACAGAGCCGCGGAGAACCTAACGGGTTACCGAGGCTCCGGCTCGAAGTGCAGCAGTAGGAACGGGGTGGTTTTTAGTCAGTAAGAGTCTGACACTCCCTCCCGCCTCAAACGGGCGGAAGAAGTCATTCGATGATTTTCCCCCCTTAAAAAAATAACCAAAACAGGTGAGATCCATTCACACACACTAACACACCTACTCACTTTTCTTTTCTTATGATGTTATTCGAATATTCCTATGGAAATCGCTATATTTTAACAGCCGCGAGACAGGCTGTGTAGGCACAGCCTGTCTCGCTAGGGCCTAGTGCGGTTGTTATTGTATACTGGACTAGCTTTTACCCGCGGCTTCGCTCGCGTCACAAAAGGATAAAAAGTAGCGTGACATATACCAATACACACAGCGCCATCTATACCAATACTTTTGTTTTCCCTCGGGAATATCAATTTTTCCGGGATAAAAACTACCCTATTATTTAATCCGGACTTCTAACTTTACTTCTGCAAAAAATCAAAGCAATCGGTTAAGTAGTTACGGCGTGAAAGCGGAACAAACTCAACAAACTCACTTTCCGATTTATAATATTAGTAAGGATTAATTAACATGTAGCATACGTACATGTTAATTGGGCTGGTAATAAAGATTTTTTATTTATTTATTTAACACAATATTTTGGGTCTCACCAACCTATAAGTGACCTCCACAGTACTAGTAAGGGGTTAGTTAAGGAGCTACATCACGCTAAGTGACTGATTGTGGTGTTGGGTGAAAGGACCATTAGTCCAGCAGAGGACTTGTCACGTGATCTTCATAAATAATAATAACATAACATCGCGCCTTTTATCCCCGAAGGGATAGGCATAGTTGCATAATACGGAAGTAAGAATGAATAATAATAACATAACATCGCGCCTTTTATCCCCGATGGGATAGTCAGAGTTGCATAGTACGGAAGTAAGGTTGAATAATAATAACATAACATCGCGCCTTTTATCCCCGAAGGGATAGTCAGAGTTGCATAGTACGGAAGTAAGAATGAATAATAATAACATAACATTGCGCCCATTTTATTCCCGAAGGGGTAGGCATAGTTGCATAATACGGCACTTAATGCCGCTGTACAATGTAACACTTATTTTCACTATTTATGTTAATAGTCTCATGTAATAGGGGGTAAGCCTATTGCCATATACCGGGCACAATTCCAAACTCTGTGCTACGACTGAGATATTTTTAACAGACACAGTAATATGTTTTTATAATAACTATCGTGAGACATACTAAATGAAGTAAAATCGCGGGTTACTCACGTGAATATACGGAGAAAAGCTCTACTAGTTTCGAACCACAGAGGGGTTCTTCCTCATGAGCAGCGTGCGAAATTTATTCACGTGAGTAACCCGCGATTTTACTTAATTTAGACACAGTAATACTTTGCCGACCCGGGAATCGAAGACCCGAGACCCCTTGCCCAGCAGTCGAACTTGCGACCACTTGGCCAACGAGGCAGTTTAATAAGGATAAATAAAAACTCAGATAATGTAGTACAAATATTTATATTACATTTATGAAAGATTACCTAAGTATATATAAGTAAGGCAATGAATACATTCCATTAGAAATGGCACTAAACTCAATTGACACGACTGTAAGCTGTTTGATTGATTTCTATAATTTTTTATATAATTATAAACTTAAGACTAAAATTTTAACTGTTATTAATTATGATATTAAGGAAGATTGTATTTGTGTTTCAAAGACTGTGACGATATTTTATATAAATTACTATTACTTTTAAAAACCGCGGTATAAAGACATGAATACACCAAGGGGACGAGTATCCCATGACATGTATCGGCAACGTGTCGAGCGACGTCTGCCGATCCCGCCCGACATATTATAAGTCGACAACGTAGTGACGTTGATGTTGCCAGACATGTCCACCCAACGTTGCGCTACGTCAACCATGGTTGCGCTACTTCACCCAACGTCGCGCTACATTACTTAACGTTGCGGTACTTCAGCCAAAGTTGCGCTACTTTACCCAATTACCCCACGTTGCGTTACTTCACCCAACGTCGCGCTACTCAACCCATCGTTATGCTACTTTACGCAATTACCCAACGTTACGTTACTTCACCCAACGTTGCGCTATTTCACCTAATGTTGTGCTACTTCACCCAACGTTGCGCTATTTCACCTAAGTTGCGCTACTTCACCCAACGTTGCGCTACTACACCCAACGTCGCGCTACTTCACCCAATGTTGCGGTACTTCAGCCAACGTTGCGCTACTTCACCCAACGTAGCGCTACTTCACCCAACGTCGCGCTACTTCACCCAAAGTTGTGCTACTTCACCCAACGTTGTGCTACTTCACCCAACGTTGCGCTACTTCACCCAACGTCGCGCTACTTCACCCAAAGTTGTGCTACTTCACCCAACGTTGTGCTACTTCACCCAACGTTGCGCTACTTCACCCAACGTCGCGCTACTTCACCCAACGTTGTGCTACTTCACCCAACGTTGCGCTACTTCACCCAACGTTGCGCTACTTCACCCAACGTTGCGCTACTTCACCCAACGTTGCGCTACTTCACCCAACGTCGCGCTACTTCACCCAACGTCGCTGGCGACACGTGTCGCAGGATATTTGTCCCTTAATGTATCATTGGCGTTATATTTACAAAATCCAGGAATTTAACCAGTCTTTATCAGTTTGATAAAAACATAAGTATAAAATGAGTACTAGTATTTTATATAAAATATCGAATAAGTCAAACAAA